TACCATTTAGGTACGGAGGGTGAAATAGCCACGCACAGGAGATGATATTTGCGTTTCTGACGAGCGCAACTTGGTTTTGTGTTATGGGTTCATGGAACCGAGTGATTCATCAGGATGGGGACTAAGATGAGTTATGAACGCAGAACTCATGTTCTTTGGTAGTTGAGAGTAACGTTCTCTCAATTTTCACTTGCAATCGTTCGCTGCGGACTCGGGTCATCCCGAGAAGGGCTATCGTATGTAAAGTAGTGATATTCCTCGTGGAATCGCACTCCTCTTTCTTCTCAATGAAATCTGCCTTCGTCATATTTTCTCCTCCTTTACGTGATTCTTTTTCAGGGAGTATTGTGGCGACATTCGCCCCCTGTGCACCTCCTTGGCAACCCAAGGTTTGGACAGCTGCTTCGATATCGAAGCACATGAGGCTGACGCGCTCGTCGATGGGAGCGGTATTGGGGCCGGAGTGTGCAGTGATGCTCCATTGGATCCTACGTCGGAGATAGAGTCTATAGGTGAAATGCTCCGGGAAGAGGTGGAGCAGCTCTGTGCGTCGACTCTGGGAAGGAAACTAGACGAGTGGATCTCACTGGGTCGTGAGGGTCAGCTTGAAAGCGATTTCTGGGATAAAGTGAAGCCGCAGCTAAGTGCGAGCGCAGTCAAGTTACGCCTGAGGTGGGCTGACAAGCTCGGAGTTAGCGCACGAAAAGGGGCAGGAGGCGGTGATATCCGTGTTCCCTTGATGAAGAAGATACTAGAACTGATGCAAGGCGAAACTTCGGAAGTCTTGGATGTCGAGTATCTGGATCTTATGGATCAAGGCGTGCCGTTTGGTACCACTAGCGATATACCAATCAGTAAATGCTGGCCGGCCAAAGTACGGTCGTCACCACATGGGCGGTACCCCATAACACGGGACGTATGGGACAATTACTCATCTGCACAGCTCTTCGCGGAGGAGGTTGCTAGCTCGTTAGAGAAGGAGGTTGAATTGGGCCGGATGGTCCCGATCTCACCTGCCGAGGAGGGCAAGATCCGTGCGACATGTCAACTCGGCTG